AGGAGCATCCTTTTCTTTTTTCTCCTTTTGAGAGATTAAGTAGGAAGATAGGTGTACACAACTGGGATACATGGGATTTGCTTAGTGTAAGTAAAAAGAACACCTTTGGATGAAGAATAGGGCACACACTTTATTTGCCTGCAGTATGTGGGAAAGAGTGTGGGAAGGCAGGACAGGAACAATAAAGGGGAGGAGAAAGGATACTGAAGACAAAACTCACCTCTTCTTAAATTTTGACTAGGGTGGACACTCAGGTATTGACAAAGAAGTATCTTTAGCAGACTTACCTGAAGCTAATGACCTGTTTTCATTTGCCACTCATTTTTCTCTTCACAAGAATCGGGACCAGGAGTCTACAACATCTGCTTTAAATAATGCATCACACTGCATCTCTTGTTGGCAAGGGTGTCACAAAGCTATATTCTTTATCTCCTGTGGCACAGGAGATTGCTAATCATTGTTCAAGGTAACACTACTACTATAGTACTGCTTGTCTGTAATCCCAATTTGGGAGGCTGAGGCAATAAGATCTCAAGTTTGAGAATGGCCTCAGCAATTTAGTGAGATCCTGTCTCAAAAAATAAAAAGGGCTGAGGATGTGGCTCAGTGGTAGAACATCCCTGGGTTCAATCCCCAATAGTGCAAATAAAAGACAACACTAATAAACAAAGAGTCAGGAGTAAGTTGTTTCTTTTGGAAATACCTTCCTCATCAGTAGAGTAGGGAAAATTTTTTAAAATCCAAATTTTGAAAAATCTAAACCCAAGGCTGTGATGACTCTGGGATTCGATTATTTGGTTGACATTTTACTGGAAAAGTGGGAAATAAGGTACATTTCTACTTCCAAATTAATATTTCAGAAGAGAATCATTCCATTTATTATATTTAGTGCACATACTTTTTTTTTAAATGTTAAAGCAGTTTCTATTCTCCTTATTTATAATTATTTTGTTTATGGATTGTAAACACATTTATTACCTATGGTATTTCAAGAAGTGTATTTAGCTCAAGAAATCTAACAGGATAAAAAGCAAACTTGGTCTCTTAACACTGAAATTGTTTTTTTTAAAATATTTTTTAACTTGGTAGATTTTTTAATACCTTCATTTTGTTTATTTTTTATGTGGTGCTGAGGATTGAACCCAGTGCCTCACACATGCAAGGCCATAACCCCAGCCCCAAACACTGAAATTGTATTAGTCAATAATACAACTTTTATTTTGCGATTTTGCTGTTTAAAATGTCTCCTTCAAGCACAGTGTTACCTAGTTACCCCTAAGCACAAAGATGGCTATGATATACCTTAATAATTTATTAGAAAAACTGTTATGGACTAAGTTACAACGTTGGATCTGAGTTCAAGGTTAATGAATCAAAAACATATTTAAGGTTCTCTTGAAACAAGGTATTGGTTGACAAAAATCATATGATGAGGCTCCCAGGAATCCAATTCTGTATTTCTTCCAGTCGCCATGATTCAGTAGTCAATAATTTCACAATTCTCCACTCCCTCATCCTGCCAACCCCATGCTGTCTGAACCCAGGGCATTGTAAACACTGAGCTACATTATTTTTGAGACAGGTTGTTACTAAATTGTGCAGGATGGCCTTGGGATCCTCCTGCCTCGGCTTCCTGAGCTGTTATGAGTATAGGTGCACACCACTGCATCCAGGTACTAAACATATTTTTGAGTGTTTTTATAGAACATTACCACTGATATCAACTATACACAGATACGAAGTAGTAAACTACTTTGAATCATATAAAGGAAAAATGGGTATGTCATTATAGGTTTTTTAAAATAGGTCACAAATTATAAATTAAAAAACAAATCTAACACAATCCCCCCATGCTTCTGATTACTCGTGTATAGCACTGACTACCATGCATTATTTTCAATATTTAATTCAATTTGAAGTGCAAATCTAAATGACTACCCATTATATACAGGTAGGTGTTCCTTAAAAGTTCAATCTCCTTTCCTTTTCTTATTTCCTTTTGTTTTTTTCTTAACACTGAAATTGTATTAGTCAATAATAAAGTGAAATTTGAAATTAATTTGCAAATACCTGTCTGATCTGTCTATAGATGTCGCTCTCACAAAGCCTGCTTAACATGTTCCAAACAAAACTCATTTTCTCCTCTTTATGAAACACCATTTTCAGTATAACTTGTCTGAAGTAGTGAGGCTCTTCCTTCTCAGATTAATAATTATATAACTTATTTTCACAACAATCTTTTGAAAAGATGCTGTAGGATGGATGAAAGGAAGGAAGAAATTACGAGAAAGAAATTAGTCTTGGAATCAGAATTGGTTTTGATATTTACCACATGACTTAAGCCAATTACCACTTTGAGCTTCGTTTTCATGGTCAATAAATGAAGTACAGGTTTTATATTGTTTTACTTCAAAGTGTGGAACTTTGAAGACAGCATTAGCAACACACAGGAGTTTGGAAGAAAAATCTTAATCCAAACAAAATGAATATCTGCGTCTTATATAATCTTTAGGCAATTGGTGGGCACATTCAAGTTTAAAAACCACTGGGTTAGTCCATGCTTACTAATACAATGGTGGTATCACCTTCAGAGATCATCATTGGAGAATTTAAAAAGCCTCATAACTTACTAGAGCTACTGTTGCAATTATTGCCAATACTTCTATTTATCTATGTCACCAATTAGATGATTACTTCAGCTCTTTGGTTACTTTTATAGGTAGATCTTTGATTTTATCCAGAAACCTAGGAAATATCAGGACATGGGTTGAATTAAGTCTACCCAAAAGTTAACAACTAGAATATTTGGGAAATGTGACCAAATCTTTAATTCAAATATAGATTAAAATTTTAGAATCTTTTCTACAATACTACTATTTAAGCAAAACTGTTTCTAGTTAATACCAATAGCGATTAACATTTACGGAATATCCGTAATGTATGCTGCACCGTGCTAAGGGAAAAGTCTTGAAGATGTTTAGCTAGTATTTCATAATCTAATACCACGATGCTATTGACCTAGCATACCACACTTCTAGTAAGTTTTCAGGCAACGCTGATGAATAAGATAGACTGACTTGGAATGTACATATTAAATTTTTTTCCATAATTTCATGACAAATTAAATTACATCAACTACTGTATGACAGAGTAACTTTTGTTTTTCCCAATTCAGTATATCAAACAAGGTTTTATCTAGCCTTCCCCACCAGTGGTTTGGAATTTTTCTTCCTACATTATCAGTATTACTGATATTGATACATAAGGACAAACTTGTCAGTTTTTGTTTTTCACTCTATAATTAAACATATAGGGAAATAAAACTGCCATTTTCCAACTTTTGTCAGATTATCAAGTACAGTCTTTATTGTACATGTTCTTCCCACAGTGACAAAGCCCTTTTCTTTCTTAGCTTAACAACATGTGTTTTTAGCTACAATACTACATGGCAAAAATAAAACAATATTTGACCAATACATTTGAGCATTTGGCTTGCCTTTTGGCAGCTTAAAACTATAAAGTTAAAAATTTTACATGCTGCTTACAAATCTATTTTTATATTTAGCTTTATTACCTTAATGTAACAAAGGAAATGCAATGCTCTTTAGTTTTAATGCTTACCATTAATTCTTCCATACAATTGCCTCCCTACTTATTTTAATTCACATTCTCTACCGGCTACAGTAAATCAGCAAGACTTTCAGAGCAGGTTCTTAGTTGATATATATTTTCTTAACCTCTGCATATCTATCTTCCAATTGCCTGCAAACAGAAAAAAAAAATAACTTGGCAGGGTATATAATTCCCGGTTCAAAATGATTTACCCATAAAACTTTGTTGATACCATTCCATTGTCTTCCGCCATTTAGAACTGCCCAAGAAAAACCTAAGGGCAGCCTGAGTTTTGCCGCTCTCTCGGTAACCTGCTTTCTTTGTCTGGATATCTGGAAGTTTTTCTTTATCCTCGAAATTTTAAAAAGCCACCAGAATATGTCTAGGCGTTGCTTCCTTTTCATTAAATTTTTAAAAGTACCCTGTGACCCTTTTCCATTTGCAGACCTTCAACTCTGGAAAAGTTTCCTCAGTTAGTTAGTTAGTTTTATTATTTCAGCTTCATTTGCTCTGTTCTGTTTCGGGTATTTCTAGTATGCGTAGGCTGTTTCTCCTGGATCCCCCTTCTAATTCTCTTTTTCTCCTCGTGTCTTGATTTCATCTCCCTTTTTCTCTACATCCTCTTGTTTGGCATTTACTTTGGTTGTCTCACTTGGTGGCCAATCCGGCTTACACATTTTTATTAACTCGAACTCCCTGAAGCCTTCCAAGTGCTCTGACATAACTTTCCTCATCACTAAGCACAGGTCTTTAATCTCCTCTATTATACGACGCTTAATACTTTCCATATCTTGTATTTCCACGGGTACCACTGGTATATCCGCTTCAAGAGGAGGCATCTTCTCGGTTGGGTCGGTCTGTTGGTTTTCTTCTGCACTGCGGTATTACGACCTTGAAAAAAAACAATCGAACTTAATCCTCTATCGTACAAGGACCCAAATGCCCTATTAATAATAGTAATCCACGGTTTTACTAAAATGTTTTGTTTTTCTTACCTTTCCAACAGCTCTTCTGAGCAAAGGCAGCCAAAAATCATCGAAGTTCAAAATTGACGAAGTACTTTCCAAGCACCGCACAAAACTGAATAATATCCAAAATGGTTCCCGTTATGTCATCTCCCCGCGCCTCCCGCGAGGGCCAATAGCCTGCCGCGTAGCTGTGCGGCCGACGGGGCTGCAGCGCGATAGTCAATTAGGGACTACACTTCCGCGCTTCCTCCCTCGCTGCCCCGCCCATCGAGTTGGGTCACGGTAGTGCGCGTGCGCAAAGCCCCGCTCAACTTTCCTCCTCCTTCCAATGGCTGGTCTCTGATCTGGTGCCGCCTCGAAGGCGGGGCTGGGTCTCAGCGGCGACCAATGGCGCATTGGGTGAGGGTTGAGGGGTGGAAGGTGTCTGCTAGGCTCGTGCTGCAGGTTTTCTCCAACGCGTGTGCCCGGCGACCCGGTCGTCATGGAATCAGACTTGACCGAAGACCTTGATGAGGAGGAGCAGCTGATGAGAAAGCATCGCAAAGAGAAGAAGGAGTTGCAAGGTGATGGGATAGGAAGTAGGAATTTAGAAGCCTGGGAAAGGCGCGGGTCAGATCGGCTTTGGGCAATCTGAAGGGATGACTGACCTGGATCCTCCCAGACTTCCCCAAAGTAAGGAGTGGCCTTTTCTGTCCCTCATCCCCCGACCAGAGGCGCTTTAATCCCGCAGCCTTCAGAGGCTTTCTCTTCTGAACTCTGCTACCATTAATTTGTGCCTCCCAAGTGGCTAGTTCTGAGAATACCGCGGAGACAAAGTCTTGGACCAAATCTGATTCTCTCCCAACTCCACTCTGCCTCCCTTCCCCATTTTCTGTCCTGGTTACCGATGCTTGACCTTAATGAGTGGTGTGTGTGTGTGTGTGTGTGTGTGTGTGTGTGTGTGTGTGTGTGTTTACTTTGCTGGGCCTTGCTCATGCTAGGTAAGGGTTCTTCTATTGAGCTCCATCTCTAGTCCCTATTGGATGCGTTTTTAATTGTCTCACCTCAGTTTAGAGGGCTCAGAAGGGATACTTAAATAGTTGACAACTTGCTTCACTTAATGTTTGTTTTTTCCCATTTTCCTCCTCCTGTCCCCCCAAATAAATTACACCGATTCAAGATTTTATTAAGGCTGTTTTTTGTATTCTTATATGGTCTCAAGCTTCATCTGGGCTCTTCTCTGTAGCTGATATGTTATGACCTCTTGCTTCTGTAGTTACTTTTTTTGTACCTATCTCCCCTTCCCATCTATTTGTTTACTGTTTCCCATTTTCTCTTATTTCTGACTTAATGATTTTGGTGCCTTTGTAGCCAAAATTCAGAGCATGAAAAATGCTGTTCCCAAGAATGACAAAAAAAGGAGGAAGCAACTCACTGAAGATGTTGCTAAGTTGGAAAAAGAAATGGAACAGAAACATAAAGAGGAACTGGAGCAATTGAGACTGACTTGCAAGGAGAATAAGGCATGTGAAATAATGTTTATCTCTGCTTACATCATTTGAAAACAACTGTTTATTATACAAAATCATGAAATTCGTATAGAAATGAAGTCACTCAGTAATACTCATGCATAATCTTTTATTAATATTTTTGAGGCCAGGGTAACATGTCAGTTAGTTTTAAGAAATCAACAAGAAAGGTACATTTTTTTATCTATTTACTTACCCAGAAGATGAGCAGATTGATAAAGCTTCACCAAATGAAAGTTGCAAGATCAGACTTCTTGTCTCAGAATTGCCACAGTATAAGATTCTAAGCTGGCCAAATTTCCCTACATGTAATATGACACATACTTCTGCTGTCTAATCACAAGTTCTTATAAAAATCAAATGGGACAACAAATGTGAAATCATTTTTAAATTATGAAAATGCTTTATGAACAAGTTGTAATAAATGAAATGTTACTGATGTTTTTTGGGTAAATGTAAACAGGCTAATTTCCATCATTTGAACTAATATTTATCATTGTAGCTAATTTATATGTGCCAAGCACTTTGTTTAACATATTACATGTGCTATTTTACTTAATCCTTGGTAATACTCTATGATATTATCGGTGAATCAAGTGTAGATAATACCACAATTCCTGTGGGAAAGATGGTTAGAGATTTAAGAACTTTGTTATGAAGTCACAACAGCTATAAAGTGCCAAGCAGAAGTCAAAATCAGAACCATCTTATTTTTTATGAATACTGTCATAGCATGTATAGTATAGCAGTTTATTGCAAGGGTTTTGCATACAAAGGATCATAGACTCTAGAACCTCACCATTTTTGATGGTTAGGAAGTTCTTATGTTTATATAAAATCTTCTCTGCCACAATTAAATTTTCTTTGATTCATTTTTGATGTTGACAAGGGAAGCAATTTGTACTGATTTATAGTAGTTTTTATTAAACATAGTCTCAATTTCTTTTTTAATTTTATTCGCCTGTCTGCAGGATCCTGGGCTTCTTTGTCCTATAATTACTTTTATCTACAGAAAACAAGGCATGATTCTCCAGGTGTTTAATTGTGTTGTCATGATTGTGATATTCGTAATTGTCTTCACTATACTATTTTGATCACTTCTGTTAGCAAAATAATTTTGTTTCCTCTCTTAGGCCTTCATTATTGAGCTTTTTTCCCAGGTTTCCAAGGACAAAAATGTTTGATGGTTAAACTAAATATTCTTTACCTGTTAAAATACAAATTCCCATTCTACTCTGATTTATTATCTTCTTCATTAAATTAAAAAGCTTTCTCTTTGAACCCTACCTAAATTCTTATATCATTGCTTTTTGGTTTTCAAATGCTTTTCTGTATCTTGCCTGTTTTCAATATGGCTGTGACTTTTAGTAGAATCTTTTGAAAAATCCTTTTAAGATTCTTAATTTCAGTCAAGTTGGTAACCATTCTCTGAAGTCTTTATCTGATTTTGATATTGGGAGATGTAGCCTCTTGAGATTTTTGTCTGCATGTCTTAGAGGCCTTGAGTTTTATGTATATGTCATACTAAGAACTAGCTTAATGTGTAGATACTTAATACTAGTTATTCATCCTAATAGAAGAAATGAAGAATCTGATTTTCTTACTTCAGCAAATACATATGTAGCCATTTGAGTATTAAAATTAGTTATAATATCTAATGGTACTGTAAACATTTTCTGCCTATAATTATCAACTTATAGATAGCAAAAGCTAGGAAAAGCTCATTTATTAGTAGTGTCAAAAATGAGTGCCATCAAGTTATGGCTAATTACGATGGAGAAGGGCCTCTGGCACATTGAAGGTTATGAAGGTAGTAATGAACTGAACGATCATAGGACATATATTTTATATGTACTGTCATCATTCAGAGAAGGGAAGAGTGCCAATGCTCAAATGAATTGGCAATTATAGAAAGTACAGTATTTAGATTAATGGAGTAGACATTCCAAGAAGGAAGGAAGGCATGTAGAATAACCATTGTCTTTGAAGAACAGTAAGGAGATTTCTTGGGACGCTAATAAATTCTCTCATAAAAATAGAGAAAGGAGACAAACCATATTATCTAATTTGATGTCTAGTGCTGCTATTCAAATATGAAATATCAATTGGAAGTATATGTGATTTTCATTATAATTTAGTGACCTAATGCTTGAATAATTTTAAAGTATTTTTAATTGACTTGTTAATACTTTTTGTTTCCTTCAGATAGATTCTGTTGCTGTTAATATTTCAAACTTGGCACTTGAAAATCAGCCTCCTCGGATATCGAAAGCACAGAAGAGACGGGTATGAAAGCCATGTCACCAAATACATAAGTTAATGTTGCTTTTGCAGGCTTAGTACTATCTTAGATGTTGTATAAGAAGGGTATAGAAAAAAAAAATACAAAGTAGTTCCTGTCAGGGTTTATTAAGGACTTGCTGTGTCTCAGATATTGTGTCAAGCTGTTTATGTGAAAAATGCAGTCTCATTTAGGCCTCACAATAATCCTATGAAATAGAATTTCTTATCCCCTTTTTATAGAGAAAAATATAGGCCTAAAATAAGACTTGTAGATAGGAAAAGCTCATTTGTTAGTAGGGTCAAGAATGAGTGCTCATCCAGTTCTGGCTAATGAAGATGGAAAAGGGCCTCTGCTACATTTAAGGTTATGAAGGTAGCAATGAGCTGAGCAAGCACAGGATGTATATTTTATATGTCTGTCAACATTTAGACAAGGGAAGAGTGCCAGTGCTCAGTGAATTGGCACTTATAGGAAATACAGTTTACACTTCTCTAGGAAGGTGATGGTGGGGAAGGGGGAGTGCAAAGGAATTGTGTTTGTTTAACAAATGTATTATCCCAGGCTTAATTTAGAATCTGTAGAGTGTGTTTCTAGGTGATTGTGTTGTATAACCCTGGTTCAAAAACTATGGTACTAAGTAATGAAGGAAGGATTTGAACCTAGAAGTTAAACAAGATATATAGGTATAAAAAATTTTCACAGAATTATGTGGATATTTTTGTAATGGTTAATTACAATAAAGATTCAGAGAAGGGAAAGTTTCATTATGTTAAGTGATGATTTAAAACTTGAAGAAAATACAAAAATAAAAAAAAACTAAAAATATTTAGTTAGGATATTTCAAATAGGAGAAATAGAATGCATAAGAACAAATGTGGGAATGGAATTTGTATTATAAAGAGCTAAAGAGAAACTTATTTATTTGAAGTAGTGAGTTAATGATCTTAATATTATGGGAATGAGATTGGATAGTTAAGGCTCTTTTACTTTGGGGGAAAAAAAGGTTTAAACCCAATTCTTTTAGTTCCAAATATTATTTTACTAATACTTGATGTTTTCTAGGATTGAAATACATATTTTAAAGCTGGCTTTGCATTTTAGTAGTGTGTAATTTAGTTGAGCTTGGAGTTTAGTGTGTGTGTCTGTGTGTTTGCAGTACTGGAGATCAAACCTAGGGCTTCATGCATGCTGGGAAAAGACTCTACAACTGAGCCACATGTCAAGCCCCACATGGAATTTTTATTTCATTTACTGTTGTTGCTTTACAAGAGTCTTAACTTCTTTAAACTTTAGTTTCATGTTTCTAAAATGAGGGGAATAATACTTATTTCGAATAATACTTATTACTATTATGAATATTAAATAATATACTACCAGAACCCTTAACACAATGCCTGGAGACCTAATAGTTCAACAAATCAAACTGTTGTTCACTGTGTTAAGCACAGTATAGTATGTCTCTTAAAAAAATGAAATCTGAGAGCCCTTTGTTTGGAAGTTGATTAAGTGGTACATGGTCAAACATTTTTCATATTTGTATAGAATTTGATTGTAGAGCAAATATTTTGATTGTGAATTTTAAAGAATAATGAAATGTAGGGCTGGCATTGTGACTCAGTGGTAGAGCGTTTGCCTAGCATGCATGAAGTACTGGGTTCTATCCCCAGCACTACATTAAAAAAAAAAAAAAACTAAATAAACAAAATAAAGGTATAAGAAGTATTATTTTTAAAAAAGAATAATGAAATGTAGATTTCATGCTCTCTAGGAGATCATCTAATTCAGCTCTATATTTGTAATAGGCTTTCTTTTAGTGATGGCTTCACAGTTGTCACCTAGTTTCTATAGATTAAGAACAAAAGATTAGAAATTTTGTGTGCTGGCAGCATAACTGTGTTTTAGGAATTACTTCTGATTACTAATTGATACATCCTACAATAGCCTACTTATTTCCAGAAAACATAAGGCTATAACTCTCCTTATTCATCCCTACCTGGACTCTTAGGCAACAAAACAAACTCCCTTACTTTTCTCAAAAATTTGTGTTGCTTTTCTCCTAATTAAAGTTTATACCTTTTTCAGCTATACTGTCATAAAATTTAGTAGCTTTTAAAGTTAGTTGCTTAACAGTTGGCAGAAAAAATACCCATAATGTACAGTTTCTTAATACTTGGTTATGTTAATGGAATTTTAGAACAGAAAACCCTAAATGATTATGATACTTATGGAAATGGAGTCCGAAATCAGGATGGACAATTGGTATTATATTATTTGGAACCTTTCTTTTAGCTGAAATACCAAGGAATAAAAACCACTTAGTTAATGGTGTTTGTTTATGGAAAAGATACAATTTTGTATGAAACCACAGCAAAAATGTTTGAAGATTTATTGTATAAGAATACTGTAGAATATTGTGGAGCACATCATTTATTTTTAATCTGGAAAGACACAGGAATATTTTAGTACTTCAAAAAACTTGGATGCTTTTTGGCTTAGTGGAAAAAGCCCAAAGTAGAAGTTAGAATTGAATTCTAAAAATATTTATATGTTCCATGCTATTTTTATCTTATATACATTTTCATTTAATGTCATTGATGCCATTCTGTCTCCAGTATGATGTGTGAAAAAACAATGTCTAATGCTGTTGGGAAACTACATTGCAAAGAAAAGAATGCAAAGGATTTCCCACCCAGTATACTGGAGAGAAAACCCAATTACCTGGGAATACTGAAGGAAAACATGAGGGGAAAAAAATAAAATAAAATGATTGGTAGTTTAGAAACCTTTAGGGTTTTGTGTATAAAGTTCTACTCCTCCAGCAAAAAAAGTGCATGACATCATTAACTCAGCTTCGGTCTGCTCCAACTCTTATTCCGATTCAGGTGCTTGAATAGATGGAGCTTTCTGTTCTTGGCCCCTGTTCTGCTCTAACTGTATGGCTTTGGAAATCCTTATGCATCTGTTTCCTTGGAAGAGGAAAATGGGGGTGTGTGGTTTAGATTAGATGATATCCAAGGTGCTTACTCTTACTCTTCCTCTCCCCTCTGAAACTGTTAGCTTGTTATAAAGTAATAGTGCCATCTTGTGTTTTAAGATATTATATCCTGTGATTCATATTTGTATATAGGTAGTTCATGTTACTTCTGTCTTTGTTGAAGTTGGGAGGTAAATCCCAAACAGGCTTGTGTTTTGTTAGAGAGATATTACTGTTTTAATTCAGGGAACTTAGAAATCAGTTCAAGATCATCTAACATGGCATATAACAGGCAGATAGTACAAGTATTGTGGCAATGAGTTGATTGAAATTTGTTTCCCATTCACTTCTTTAGCCCCAAGAGGAGTTAGAGCTAGAAGTAGGGATGTCTTTACTTTTTCTACTCTTGGTTTACAAACTCCTTCACTGTGATTCACTACAAATGTTAAGATTTTTAGAATTTGATTTAACTATTTTTATTCTCTTAAACTGAAAACCAGTTTCCTCCCTGAGTGTACAAATAAAAGAACTCATGGTAGAGAATTAGAAGCTAAAGAAAGCACATAGATACAAGCACACACACTAAAATACAATGTATTTTAATGCTACCATCCAGAAAAAAAGCACTACAGATATTTTGTATATATTCCTCTAGGTTTTTATGCTTTATAAGCATAGACTTAATATATATTAACTATATCTCTATCTTTTTAGCCTCCATATCATCTCTTGACATTTTAATGTGGTACTCTAGCTTTGTGAACTGTTTTTACCTTTGAAACATAGTGCTGTCTGACTTGTGATCCTTACTAGTTTAGCTGTCAGGAATCGTTTCCTCCTCCAATCTTTCCATATCACTTGTGTCACAAATCTCTCATTGACCTCATCCCAACCCCATCCTTACATATGCTTTCATGGGAAGATCTCTTAAGGTGTTTGAATAAGTAAAGCAAATTGTGAGCATTTATTTAAAGCATTTGTTTTACATTTTATACAAGTATGCTGTGTTTATTAAAATGCATCAGAAAACAATCTGGAAAGATACATACCAAACCCCTAAAGAAAGTACTGGGATGACAATGGTATTTCAGGAGAACTTTGATCTATCTGTAGTATTTTAATTTTTTTGTAAATAGGAGTTTTTTAATTAGTTACTTTATTAATTATGTATATGTGTGTATACATATATAGATATCTATAGACATATATATGTATATCTGTGTATAGGTATTTATGTATGTATATGTGTATAGATATCTATAGATCTTTACATATTTTTATATAAAGAGAGATGTATATATTTACATATATACATAAGTGTACACTTTTTTTAAGCTAGATATAAAGAATGTCTGCCTGTACCCTTCTAAAGTTTTGAGCATATTTATGTCGCACTTGTGGAGTAATAAGTTAAGAAGCTTAGGTTAACCTGGACTTGAATATGATGAAGTAGTTTAAGGCCTAGGATGACTCAATCTTAAGACAGTACTTTAAAATCAGCAGGTAAAATTTTTAGAAACTTGGCATTAGTTTTTTTTTTTAATATTTATTTTTTAGGTGTAGATGGACACAACACAATGCCTTTATTTTTATGTGGTGCTGAGGATTGAACCCAGGTCCCACCCATGCTAGGGGAGCGCTCTACTGCTGAGCCACAATCCCAGCCCTGTATTAGTTTATTAAATACACTCCATAGGAAGGACTTTCTTTTGTCCCAGTACAGAGCTAGATAATAGGGCCCACAGATCAAGTGAGTAAAATAGTTTGCATTTAAAGGAATTTATGGTGTAGAATATTCTACAAGTGACAGGATGGTCAATATAATAATGCTTGTGGGAGAAGGGAGAAAAATGGCAAAAAGTTTTGAGAATCATATATCTCTATCCCCTTAATAAGTGAGAATTAGTCCTGATTATTATGAATTAACTTTCCTATATTCTCATCTTAGGAAAAGAAAGCTGCATTGGAAAAGGAGCGGGAGGAAAGGATAGCTGAAGCTGAAATTGAGAACTTATCTGGAGCTAGGCATGTAGAAAGTGAAAAACTTGCTCAGATATTGGCAGCCAGAGAGTTGGAAATTAAACAGATTCCATCTGATGGCCACTGTATGTATAGAGCCATTGAGGATCAACTGAAAGAACAGGACTGTGCTGTGACTGTGGCTGCCTTAAGAAGTCAAACTGCTGAATATATGCAAAGCCATGTGGAAGACTTTTTGCCATTTTTAACGAATCCTAATTCAGGAAATATGTATACTGCAGGTAATCCATTTTTCTTTACTATGTTTTATTAATGGTTATGGTTGTTTTTAAATAAAGCTCTTCCTAGTACTGAGCATAAAAAGAACCCATATAGCCCTAATGAGGAGAAAACATCACAAAATTTAGGGAGAATTACTTTCCATAATTTTAATAGATGCAATCACATCTTACTTTATTCAAATCTCTTACATACACAACCACTTTGTGTATTATTTTATATGAGATAAAAGTAGGAAAAGGATTAATCATTATTATTGAAAATAATGTGTTCATATTTAATAAAGTTAAGCATAGAGGTAAGCTTTGACCAGTGACTGGATGTACTGGCTTTTAGATCACAAGCTGAGAATGATTATGAAAACTATTTTTTTTTTTACTCCATACTATGGGAAATTTGTGTTATTCTCAATGAACTATAATTAGGAAAATTACTATGTGAGAAAAATTTTATTTTGCTAGACCAAAAATAAACTAGTTAATAACCTGCTTTATTTTCTACAATATTTCTGATAATTAATATAAAGTATTTATAGTGAAGTTAAAAAATGCATATTTAAATGAAAGGGAGAGCAAGTAAATTATCTGAAAGGGTTTCAGGGAAGTAAAAATAGGGGATGGGGCTGTGGCTCAGTGGTAGAGTACTTGCCTAAAATGCATAAGGCCTTGCCTGGGTTTGATCCCTAGTACCTCAAAAAACAGAATAGAAGCAACTTAATCTTTGAGAGAAGATCACAGATTATAAAGTAATCAATAGAAGCAAATCATGTGGCTAGGATAGGTTGGAGAGTGGGAGGTTAAGGTGGACTTTCCTTTAATTGAGTTTGCCCTCCAGAGCATGATACAGAAGATGAGAATGAACACTAAACAGTTGATTAGGTCTCCTTTAGTAAGTATGGCCTACACATGACTATAAGCATATCCAATCCCATAGCCAACTAATTTCTTCATATCTCTTGCTGTTTTAGGTCATTACTATTTTCTAAATAACCAGGATTTCTTTGGCATCCAAAACGCATTTTGCTTTATATTTTGATATGTGTAGAAATAACATGACAAAGTGTCCTATGCTTTATTTTTGACATGATTACTGAGTTATTTATACTGAAACTCCCTAATTCTGACTATAGTAGGACATTTGAGAGGAGGTAAAAATTCATTATGCTTATCAGAGAAAAATATATAAAAAAAGAGTTCATTATCTATATTCAGTTAATATTCTTTGAAGCCCACTGTATGCCAGGCAGGATGCAAGGTGCTGTTCTGAGCACTGAGGATTTAACAGTGATTGAAGCAAATACATGGAACATGTCTTTCTATTAGATGCCTGTAGTCTCCTTCCCTCTCTGGGCAGAAAGGATGTTTGTACTCCACTTCAGCATGCTGTATAAAAAAGTGTGGGAATAAAACATGCCCATGGTAAATTCAGATTAGGTCTTTTACTTCTCCTCCCAGGGCTGATCTAAAAATCCCTTTCCTTGGGTAAAACTGATCCGATGTAAAATAATTTAAGTGCTTCTGAAATAAGAGGTAGAGATACTATTTGATGCTATCTCCAGAAAAGGAGTTTAAACTCACTTGCACTTTACTGGGGTTAAGCATAATTATAGATAGGCTACATATTTTAGTCTTTCATGGTATTCTTTTGTGTGCAGATTTGGGCTTCAAGACACATGTCAAGGTAGTGAATATGGTGGCAGTTTTGAGAATTATTGCATTAGATGAAGAGAGAAAAGTAGGTTTCTTATGTTGGTCTCTGGGCCTCAAGTTGAGGGAGAAAAGCAGAAACTCATTGTTTTGCTCTTGGATAGAATGGTGGTGGAAAAGTGAGATGAATTAAATCTGGATCTGAGAAGTAGATTAAATTTTGGAGGGAGGTGGTAGGGAAGGGAGATGTTCATGACTTAGGCATTTTCATCAGGGGTTGTGGGAGCTGTAAAAAAGAACCCTTGTAATATGAGGTGTGAAAATTATTAAGTGCAATATTCTGATCTGTTCTCTGTAGAAGAGTTTGAAAAGTACTGTGATGATATTGTAAACACAGCTGCATGGGGAGGCCAACTTGAGGTAAGTTTGGAATTATTTATAGTGATTGTGCATTGTTAAATTATTTCTGAATCCCTTCTATAATTTTAAGACATTTTTTACCTGATCCCAATTTCTCTTTGAAAATTTATTTTCTTTGTATATTTGCCATTTCTCGACTGACCAAGAAATAGGGAGTTAACATTCTTTTGCCTTTGATTAAAGTATCTACCTTAAGTAAGAGAAGCACTATTTCATTTTAAGAGCTCAGTGTTAGATCTCTGTGTTGGAGAAGCTGGTGGAATGGTGTTTTCATTTGTGATGCTGCTAGTGCCAATATATTTGATATTGTGGACTTATAAAAAATGGCTCAGCTGATGAACATCACTATTAGAACAATAACTTCTTAACATTAAATATAGAAAATGATTTTTATGTAAAATTACAAGTCAACTCTTTCCAAAACACATCTATTAAAATTGTGTTTTGAATTCCTAATTGGTAGTTAACTTACTTGAAAGCACTAGATGATGCATTAAAATTGATGTATAAGAAAACAATATGTTCAGTCACTTATAAAGATCTTTTAAGAGTTCTTTTTATCACTACTTCTTAACTCTTACTGTTAACTTTGTTTCATTATAACAAAATAAAACACCTGAGTAGACCCAGTGGTGATGGGCAATCTGGGATATCAGAAAGAAGCTAAGAAGTCTAGCCTTGGGTTGAAGTTCTAACGTCTCCCTTCCATTTCTCTGTTATGTGACCTAGGGTTGTCAGTTAACTTCTTTAGCTTGTTTCTTAATTATAAAATATACCTAATAATTCCTGTGTATACTCCATCAAGCATTTGTGAACATTAAATAAAGAAGTATCTGCATAAAAGTTCATGATCTAAAATGTCAGATGGATGAAACTAGAAGTATTATTAATCACATTGTATAATGGTGATTAGTCGTCTTGAGTAGTCTATGGCTTTACATATTCACTTTAGGAACTGTTTTTCAAAGATGTGAAAGGAATGTTTCTCAGATCTTTTTCTTAGCAGTGCTATATTTGTACCTCTCCACCAGAGGGAACCATGCCCATTAGTTTTGTATGTCTCTCTGCTGGGTCTCAGAAACTCAGGAAATTTTTATAGTAGTATTGTGACTAGTATTAGGAATAAAAATGCTTGAACTTTCATATAATGTCATTCATTACCGTGAGTATTGGAGGTTTATTCAACTGTTTAAGTTGAGAAAAACTTTAAAAACATCCATTGAAGGACATTTACTCATGAATTAACTGTGGATTTATTTTAAATAGAAATTATTATTTCTGAAGAGTTAGAAGGGATATTAAAATTTCTAAAGCTTGCTTTGCATCCTTCATTCTGTATTAGTTTTTAAAAACCTCTTTTAGACATAAGAAATATGTGCTTCAAATGAGTGTTTTACAAAATAGAGCATGGGATTGTGTTTGCCACTGTGTAGCATGGAATTATTTCCATATTCTTGAATTAATTTTTTACTTTTTTTTCAAAACTTATACAAGGGCTGTGTTCTTCATGTAATGTTCTTATAAAGTGGCAAATAACAGGGTACTGTGATCAAAGATTGGCGATAATTGATTTATTTAGGAACTTTCTCTCTAGACTCAGACTTCTTCATTTCAGCACTGGTCATTTAGTTTTCTAATGTTTGACTTTGACAAGTCTTTTAATTTTTCTCTGCTTGGGATTCTGGCTCTTTTAAAATAACACTAGTAATTGAGTGTGGTGGTACATGCCTGTAATCCCAACAGCCACTCAGGAGGCTGAGGCAGGAGGATTCCAAGTTCAAAGTCAGCCTTACCAACTTATCGAGACCCTGTCTCAAAGTAAAAAGTAAAAAGAGCTGTGTATGTGGTTCAGTGGATAAGTACCCCTGGGTTCAACCCCCAGGTTAAAAAACAAACATTAATAACAACATTACTAGTACCTATCCCATCAAGTCATTTTGAGGATTGAATGAATTAATACACATAAAGTGTTTAAGTGCTTAGAGGGTTTAGTCATAGTAAGTCTACAAAGTGTTAGCATTCATTTCATTAGTAATGTATTCATCAGGCCTTACACTCTTGATTTTACATTGTACATTGTGGAATTACTTAAAGTTGTCTATTTGTTCATCAGCTAGAAATTCCTTGACAGAGCAGTACAATTTATATACATATCCCATTCTAACTTGCCTTGAAAATTATAGAACAGTGGTTCTCAACATAGGTTTTCCATTGGAACCATCTGAAAAGTTTTTAAAAAATAAACTTCCTGTGTTGTCTCCTCACTCCCCAGTTGTTATTGTTTTGATCTGGTGTTTAAACATTGGTATGCAAGAACTCTTTGTTATGGAAATGTTCATGTGTATTAAAAAATAGAGACCAGTATATTAAACTCAGTTTACCCATCATACCACCTTACTAACTTTGACATTGATGGTTTTACAAAAGGTTTTACAAAACTGTTATGTAGCCAGAGTTAAAGGAATCCCTGCTTTTGATTTAATAAGTATTATATTTATTTGTTAAGTCAACAAATATTTATTTTTCCACTACTGGTTAGGAACAGAGCACATGCTTGTTCTGACTGCTTACCCTGTTCATATGCATGTACTTTAGTAGTCTATGGTTGGGATAAGATTGACATTTTTATTTTCCTTACTAATACATTTTTTCTCCCCATAGCTAAGAGCTCTGTCTCACATTTTACAAACACCAATAGAGATAATACAAGCAGATTCTCCTGCTATTGTAGTTGGCGAAGAATATTCCAAACAACCATTAATACTTGTGTAAGTATCTAGAAAGTTTTACTGTTTTATATTTTTATAATGAAGACAAAAAAAATTATAAAAAGATTTTAGGTTATATATGTTGATTAATCAACACTGTCTTTAGCTGAATTAATTTTGCTTATCTTAGATTAAAGGCAAGTGTTGTCCATATATATGATTTAGGTAATTGTTTAAACCTCAAGAGATTTATTTTGGTTATGAGTTAAGAGCAGTTATTCCTAAAGGCTACAAAATTTTAAGACTAGTTTATAAAGTTCCAACATGTGAAAAAGCTGAATTATATTACTGTTGCCTGTTTATTCCTTAGAGATTTTTTTCCTTCATATTGTAAGAGTATTTTGGATTGAGAAATCTCTGAAGTACAGCATGGAGGATTTATTCTTGTCTTAATGTTTATTAGCTGAACTTGCTAAGGTAGTCATTACTGGTTGTGTTTAGGTAAGAATTTAAGCTTATTGAACGCTTAGCATCTCAGCCTTTCCATTTTCCCTCGTGTGATTGAACCACTTGCAGACAGTACTTGTCAAATACTGACAATACTTGTCAAATAGTGTTGAACTCAACTAATATGTTCATGTAGTCTATTGAATGATACCTCTGTGGACTGTCAGTGCTTGGTTTTATGTACTTAATAAGCATTTATATGTAATAAATTAATCAAAACTACTCATTTTTTTCATTTCAGATATATGAGACATGCATATGGATTAGGAGAACATTATAATTCTGTTGCACGGTTGGTGAACACAGCTACTGAAAATTGCAGCTAGTTTACAAAACGTTACACAGTTATGTTTTAATACAGTGTGCCGATCTGAGTATTGCTACCAAGTGCTAAATTGTTCTAAATGCTACTGAAAACACAACTACCTTAAATCAATTTTAAAAATAAGCTTACTACCAGGCTTTTTAGAAATATGTCAGAGATAAACTTTAACCAGTATCCTCTTAGTGGTATTTTGAAACTTAAAAATTGATGTGGAGAATATCACTTATAGACCAAGGTCGTACCCTGTTTACTGATACATTTTTATCATTTTTATTTATATAGCATCCTGGATATTTTGTTCTGTTTAAGGATACATTTTTAAATGTTTAAAAATTTCATCCCACTACTAAAATTTTCCAAAGAAAATTTCAGTGTAATTTTTCTAGAAGTGAAATGACTCATTCTCTGTCATTATAATAAAGTGGTATTGTGATGGCAAATTTAATTAATGCTTATAAAATAAACTTGACTTCACTAACCTTAGTGTTGATGGGATTAGTGGGGTGAAGTTTTTATGTAGCTTGTCAGTGCAGCTAGGAAGCTTGCTATAATAATTAAGAATTTCTAAATATTTATTCAGTTATTAAGTTTAAAGAAATGAGACAAAGTCAAAGGTAAATAGATATTCACTGTCAAATTTAAACCTCTAAAGATTAGAGATTTGCCTTTTATTTGTGTATAACTTTAACAAGACATGACAGAGCATTGTCTAATTCATTTATTACTCTTTGCTGTTCTTGAACTTTAGACTGGAGTTAGTGTCATCTCTTGATTCTCTTCTTAACTGCTTATTTTTATATTTTCTAGTGTGGTTTCTGTTCACTACTCAGCTGTTTTGCTTTCCCTGCATCCTTTTCCACTAACTGACATTTTGTGGCCTCTCATTCTTTTCCTTCTGCAAGTTGAGGATTTTGCAGTGCAAAAGGTGCCAAGGCCACATTTATTTCACGTTCTTTCTCTTTTCCAGTTTGTCTTACAAGATCTGTCCCCTTCTGCTCATTCTCTAGGATTAGATAAAAGCCCTTGACACTATTTTGTTATTAATGCCACTTTCTTCAACTCAATTATTTGGAGAATTCTTATGTTGTATAAAGGGTTGAGTTGAAAGCCACTGTTTGGGCACCAAGAATTTCATAGTAAAATAAGTTTGCAGGAGTTTTCTGTGTGAATTATTAATTTTAAATTTCAGATCAGTCACAATAGTGTTCTTTCTAAGAGATAATACCCACATATACAAATGTATCTGATAATTTATTATGTAAGGAAATATTATGAAAACGAGATCTATTTGATTTGATCTGTTTTTCCCAAGTTAGAAATATAAGATATAAGAGGGTAAGATTTAGCATCAAGTTTATAACATTTGAATTTTTTTTCATTCACAAAGTATTTATTGATTGTTTATCATGTGCCAGGTAAATGACAGTGTATGAGAAAATCAAACAAATATCTGGGAACTTATAATGTTATTATAACATTGGAATTTTTGCTCCATTATAATTTTTATGAGGAAATATTGTGTTTATAATATTAAAAATGGCTTCAGACTGGGCTTGGTGGCACATGCCTGTAATCCCAGCAGCTTGGGAGGCAGGGGGATTGCATGTTCAAGGCCAGCCACAGCAACTTAGTGAGACCCTGTCTCAAAATAAAAAAAATAAAAAGAGGACTGGGGGTGTGGCTCAGTGGTTAAGTGCCCCTGGGTTCAATCTCTAATATCAAAGAAAAAAAGGCTTCAGTCACACCTGGCCAGCAGTTAACACTGTAGGAAGCTGGTCAGGACTGTGGTCAACTAGAGCAAGTAAGTACATTTTGCCTCCAAGCAATATATTCTGAAGGCTACCTGTTTTGTTACCTTTAATCTGAATTTTTTGGGGCATCTGAAATTTATAAAAGAAGGAAACCAAGAATATTAAATGCTTTGGGTGTATTTTGAAGTAAATCCGTTACTTTAAAATATCAGCATTAAGAAATAATAAAATTTTATGAAACCTAGTTATTATAAATTCCAGCATCATCAAAAGTATTCTAAAAATAACTCATTGGTGTTTTTCTTTTTTAAACAAGAAGAGTTAAAATATTCTTAATTATATGGTTTTCTTTTTTTTTTTTTTTTAAGTACTAGGGCCTAGAGTTGCTAAAGCAAGTGTTCTACTATTGAGCTGCATCCCCAGTTTATCTTATTTTCTGCTAACCTTTTTAATTTTTTTAAAAAATTTAAAGGGTCAGTACAGTTATGAACAAGATTTGTATGGTTAGCTGTTTTTCATAAAACTACAGATAAATATTTGTATAACTGAAAAAAAAAGCTCTTCCCCACCCCCACCCCGAAATAGCAGATATTAGTTTAAAAACAGCATATGATACTGGGATATGGCTCAGTGGTAGGGGGCTTGCTCAGCATGTGCAGGGCTCTGGGTTCAATCCTTAGCACTACAAAGGGGGGAAAAAAGCAGCATATATTAATTTGGTTTGCTGTATGATGATGGCCTAATGGAAATTACATAAGCTTTCTTTTGTCCTAATTTGGAAAATTGTATGTCATTTCTGGAATATGTCTTTAGCCAAGAATTTTATCCACTTAAATATGTTTACAGCTTGTATAAAGCAAAAAAAAAAAAAAAAAGTATGTGTGTAACTATTGTGAGCAATGTAGTTTTGCTCATATTATCTGATGTTTGCCAAAAGAATAAAAGATGAATGAATTAAATCAATATTTGTTTGTTCACATTGTCATTCTTCAATATTTTTAAAATTCAGAAACAGAAAACACATTTTGCTTTAGAATTTTGTTCAGCCTTTGTTTTGTCTTCAGATATAACATAACTAAGAACAATGCAATCACAGATTCTTGCATTTAAGGAAGTTGCAATAAATATATGAATACAGCATTATGCCCAGGGTGGAGGGAGATAATGCAGTAATCTCCATGGCACTTAGAAGTAATCTCCATGGCACTTAGAAACCAGGTAGGAGCTTAGAACTTTTTAGAATAATGAAGAAGATTTATTTAGGATGAATGAATTCTTCTAAGATTCACAAGTGTCAAAAAAGAAGATTTAGGCATGGTGGCACAGGCTGTAATCCCAGCAGCTGGTGAGGTTGAGGCAGAATTTCAAGTTCAAAGCCAGCATCAGCAATTTAGTGAGATCCTGTCTCAAAAAGTAAGAAGAGCAGGGAATGTTCCTCATTGGTAGAGTACTCTTGGGTTCAGCACCTCCATATCCTAAAGAATAAACTTTATTGGTGTGGATAAATGGAAGCAGTAAGAAGCTTGTGCACATTGGTGTTGGCAATAAATTAATACAATTTATTGCCAACACCAATACAACCTGGTACAGGTTGTCATGAACTAGTTGAGGAGGCAGGTTAATTGTTTTCTGAGACCTTAATTAGTGATTTTACACTTTTTAAATCATTTATTAAACAAATATGAATGACTTTTTCTCCCTGTTTCTCATTTTTTTTTCTTTTTTTTCCCCCTTTCTATTCTCTCTTAGTTTAAGTCTAATTTAAATAGTTGTTATTCATCTCATCTTTAAACTCATGGTTTTTTGTGAGGGGTGAGGAGGGTACTGGGGATTGAACCCAGGAGCTCTCTACTACTGAACTATGTCCTCATTCTTTTTTTTTTGTTTGTTTAAATACCGGGTCTCCTAAATTACCCAGGCTGGCTTTGAATTTGAGATCCTTCTGCTCCACCCTCCAGAAGTAGCTTAGAGACACACAACACCATGCCCAGCTTTTTTTAAATACAAGTTCTAGGAAGTATCACTGTGACACTTTGGGAACCCACCTTGTTCTCTCATACTTTGTGGGCCTTGTTCAAATGGTAGTTCATACCATTCAGAATTGAATGTTTCAATCTATCTGCTTTACCTAGCTTAGTTGTTTTCCTGGTCTCAGCTTAAAAAGGATCCCCTGAAGCACACATTCCCTCATGCCTCCCACCTGAGGTAGGTTAGGTATGACAGTCTAATGCATACTTCTTCCTAGTACCTATGTACTTATAATTAGTTACTTTTATTGAACATTTGTTCTGTTTTTTTTTCCCCCTAGTCTTTTAAATGCTCATAAACAAGAACTTGTTGACCAATGTCAAAATATTTAGTACATTGCCTAACCTACATTAGGTGCTTAATAAATGTTTATTGATAGCCTTGGGATATTAGGTAGAGAAGAAAGTTTATGATTGAGGAGTTGCCGCTAGGCTGGGAATAGAGAGATGGAAATGACAGAATTGTGCTTCCTCACTAAAGGTCTGCTTTCTAATTTACTTGGATGAATTCTTTAGTTCTTTTGGTCAGTTAAAGGGAGAAAGGGAACCCAAGAGTATTTTCTATTCTAATATAGGTGGAATATCCCCAGTTTGAAAATCCAAAATTTGAAGTGTCCCCCAAATTCAAAACTTTTGAGTACCAATAAAAATCCACATTATTAACTTTGTTTTATATGCAAAATTATTAAATATATTCTATTAAATGACATTCATGCTATATAAAATCTGTATAAGGTATACATGAAACAATCTTGTGTTGTACTTGAGTCCCATTCCCAAGATATCTCACAATTAGGCAAATATTCCAAAATCTGAAAGAACATGAAATCCAAAATGCTTCCTATCCCAAGCATTTCATATAAGGAAGTCTCAACCTATAGCATTCTACCATTGGTTTATTTTTGTGCATCACTTAGGACAATGTCTGATTTTAGTGAATCTACAAAATATGAGGATCAACCAAAATAAGTATACAGATTTTTAAAAAGTTAAAAGCCTAAAGAGACCATAATGCTTATAGTTGTCTTATTTTAGAGTACTCAGGATGACTAATGTAACTTACTGAAATAAATCACTACCTTTCTATAAGGTGCTGAATTAAACAATTCTCTGAATAACAATGACTTATTCTGTTTCTTGCAGTTTCTTTTTTGTCACCTTTCTTTATAATTTCACTCAATACAGTATAAACACGTGGATTAATAAGAATCTAATGCCTGATGAGTTTGATGAACAAAAAATATAACCGCATTTTAAAAAGTAGGTTGCTGTTTTGGAATCTGCCATTTGTCATTCCCACCCCATGGCCCCTGCTTGAAATTGTAAAGGCTTTGTACAATTAGATCAGCTTCTCAACAGTGGCACTGTTGATGTTTTGAGTTGGATGAGTTTTTGTAATAGGGGTTTTCCTGTGTGTTATAAAATGTTCAGTAGCATCCCTGGCCTCTAGTCACTAAATGCCACTGGCACCTTCTTCTAGTTTTAAGAACAAAAAATGTTTCCTTGGGGACAAAATTGCCCCCAGTCGAGAACCACTTATTGGATCATATGTTATTGCTAATGATGTTGCAAAGTTCTAAGGAAATTAATTTAGAACAAACTTTGGGCACATTAGTTATTCATCTGCATTTCATGACTTTGACAACTACCTAATGATGGACTTTAGATGAATCATTGAAAAGTTCAGTAGGCTTTAACTTTTTTTTTTTTTTTTTTTTCCTTTTCCATATCATCCTCCAGTGATTATTTGGCTTCTGAGATTACTGGTAGTAGCATTCAGGACAGACTATGTTATGCTGTGATTAACAACTTAAAAATCTTGGGGTCTCATACTAACAAAGAAATATTTCTTGTTTGTACAGTTTGCAAGTTGGCTGGGCTGTACTCCATGTTTCTACACTCTAGTGCCCAAACTATTGGCATTATCACCCTCAAACTTCTTTAGAAGAGAACATTCTGGAAGGTCTCACTTCAGCAAACAAATCTGGCTTAGAAGAAACACATCTCATTTCCATTCATTTGTAGCAGTCAATCACATGGCCTTGCACAAATAGGAAAAGGCCCAGAAGAGCAATCCTTCCTTGTGATCTGAAGTGAGGGAGCTGGAATATTTGATGAACATTATTAAGCATTGTCACATGTGCTGGAAATAGTGGCATTTGGGATCAGACTTGCATCTACATCTTGACCTTGGTGTTTACTAACAAATCTTTCAGAGTTCTAGTTGGCTTGTTATAAAATAGGAATGATAATATTTCCCTAGTAAAAGAACTGTAATGATAAATAGGGAAGTTTAGGTAATCCATCTAACATTTTAGTATTTTCTCTAAGTGATGTTTTTGAGAATAATGTTTATTATTTGGGTGTTTTTATTTTATTTTTTTGGCCTAAATGCCACTAGGAGGGAGGCAGAACCATAATAGGACATTAATCTCTTTTGGAAAACTGAAACTGTCAAGGTGGTTCATAAAGCAGCGCCTTGAGATGCTAGAAAGAGGTGGGGCTTCATTATGGCCATTGGTAGTCAGCACAAAGGAATTTTCAGTAGCTAGTCTTGATATGAGACCAAGGAAGTACCAAGGAGTATTTGATAAAATATGGCAAACATTCTTTTGGCATATTTTGTTTGGCTTGTGTAGTGATTAAAAAGGAAAAAAATATTAGTAGGTAGCATTTAAGAACAGGGGATTTCACTCAAAAGTCCATATTTTTAGCTTCTCAAAAAAATTAAAAAATATTTTCTCATAGCAACACTCAGCAGGAGCTGAGTACTTGTGGTCTGCTTTGGATGGGACGTATGTTGTTTCTGTTTACCCACAATCATCTCCTCGTGGTCTGCAAACATATTTCTTGTCTTAAGTAGAAAATGCCCAGTTCCCCAGTCATAATCTTGACATTGTCTTATACAGTCTCCACTATGTTCCCTGTTTTGGTTTATTCCTTGATAATTAGACTTTGTATGTGTTTAGCTATCTTATTGGTCTTGGTTTTATCTCAGTGTTCAATTTTCTAATCTATTCATTGCTACTTTTTATTTTGATTGGCTTCTTCTAGTTTCTATGTGTTTAGTATTTGGTACATATTTCTAAAAAACATAGTGTGCATTTTTTAAGTAGAATCTTGAGAATTTCCTGTAGACAAGGTAATTAAATGCTGGTCTGTAAGCTAGTCTCAGTGGCAAAACAAAAAAATTTAGTATATGATGGTTAGTTTTCATGAGGCATATTTCAATTTAAATTTACTCATAGGTTATGTTCTTTTAGCAGAGGGATTTAAAATGTTCCTTCTTTTATGAAATTATGCTGGTAGTAATTGGGAGTGTAGTTTTTGAAATGACCTTACATGGCAAAATTAAAAGTTGATAACTGTATTTCCCATAAATCATTTCCTACTTTTAAAGTTTGAACCACTAATAGATTTCCAATCTCATAGCCAACATAAGGATTCTTTATGTAACATTTCTGACAGATGCTCACCTACATGCTATTTGAACCCCTTTAACAAGAGTGCAATTGGATATCTAAGGGATAAGTCAAAGCAGCAATGGATAAAGGGGGGGGATAGTGACACAAAGGTGGAAGGTCTTTGGTGTAGTGGGCATGTTAGCACATTGTTTTGCCAGAGGTAGTGCTTACCCACTCTAAGAGTAGAGATCTTGATTTAATTGTATATGTGAGATTATACAAGAAAAAGCATAACTACCTCTTATTGAGCACTTTGTGCCAGCCAGTGTCCTTTAGTATGTGGGCTTATGTGCTCTTCACAGAAAGCAGGGGTTGGCATTTTCAACTCTATTTTATAGATAAGGAAATGAGACTTAAAGAGATTAAGAATTACTAACTTGAGCCACATAGCTAGTCAGGGTAAGGCTAACCCTAGAAGTCAGGTCTTTGAGATTCCGAAGTCTTAATAATCAAACATTCTGTTTCCATATTA